TTTTTTTTTTTTTTGTGACTTTGTAGGGCCATTCCTTGAGTGGGTTGTGTGTGGTGTGTGGAAGAGTGTTGGCCCTAAAGACACTGCTGTGATGCAGTTGGGGGTGGGGAAGACGAAAAGGGAGGCTCAGCTACTGGCAAAATGCTCGCTCTTTGCGTTAGCCGGAACCCCACTTGCGGCCCCACCCCATCCTTGACCACCATGATTGTGGGGGAAGGGGGGGGGGGGCAACATGCATATGCATCCCCTCTGATGGCTAGAGGGAGACAACAAAGCTATGTTTGCAGGGGTCCCCTGTCTAATCCTTAGGAGTAGTGTTAGGTAGGTAGGTAGGTAGTGGAGGTGAACTGAAAGAATTTGAAAGATGATGAAATATTTGAGAGAAGAATATAGCCTAGTTAAACAAAAAAAAACTAAAAGAAATAAAAATAAAAAATGGGTTGTATCTCAGCGCGAGATTTGTGGGCTGTGTACCACAGTACCAACGCGCCTAGCTCAGTTGTTGTTCACCCATGAACTATGTGTTGAAATACAGACCCAAGTTCGAATCCAGCGGCACCAGATGATCAAAACAAAAGCATTCTGAAATTACCTCCAGCCGGTCAATTTAAACCACCAGTACTTGGCCCAGCTATCGGTCGCAGAAAAAAAAAAGAGTAGAAACGTTTCTAGTCGGATGAATTTGGGCGCTCCTGTAGTAGCCCGTACGTTTCCTAAAATCGTGGCGCATTAACGGGCACGGCTCTAGGAAGTAATCATGCTTTAATGATGACCCCTTTCTGACAAAGAAAAAGATCTATGTGCTGTGGAAGAACGACTTTCACCAATTTCACTGCTTTTTTTCAAGTGCTGTGGAATGAGTCCTATGTAGCAACTTTGTGTTTTTCCTACATGTCACACCGGTGTGACTCGGCGGTAGGTACAGCATGCTGTGGAACGAACGACTACTTTCATCAATACCCTACATGAAAAAACAAAAAACAAACAATCAAACAAAAACAAACAAAAACAAACAAGCTACATGCGCCACGTTGCAACTATGCCTCTCTCTATATCCGGCACAAGTGACCAGTGTGACTCGGTGGTAGGCATAGCAAAACTCTTTCTTCACCGATACACCCCACAAATTTTGTTAGAAAAAATGACCTATGATCTTCACCGGAATAAACGCCCGATCATTATTGCTGGATCTTTTTTTTTTTTTTTTTTTTTTTGAATTATTGCTGGATCTGGACAGAGAGTTGACCCTAATACAGCTGTAATGACCAGGTGTTCTGTTAGGGTGAAGATGGTAGTTTGAGTATGCCCTGAAAGTATTGGAAGTGGTTTCTCACTGCAGATGAGAGCCTGTGAATGCACAAGGAGCTAATCAAGGCCACATTCGGTTGTCGATGGCACACTCGAGTTCCCATCATAATTTTACAAACCTACAAAGTCTGCTGCTTCTTGAGAGAAGGTGCCGGTTTGAGTATGTCATCAACGTATTGGTTGGGCTTAAAAGAAGAATAATTCAATAATCCTTAAAAAAAAAAAAAAAAAAAAAGAAGAGAGAGAAGCAGGTGCAAAAAAAAAGAAGAGAGAGAAGCAGGTGCTGGCTTGAGTATGCCATCAACTTATTGGAACTGGTTTGCCTTTGAAAATGCATAAAGAGCTAATGAAGGCCACATTCCGTCATCGGTGGCAAATTGGAGTCCCTTTCTTAATTGCAGTTTAATCAAGGCCACGTTCGTTATCCGTGGGATATTGGAGTTCCTCTCCTAATTGCAGTTTCATGGTGTCTGCTGCTTTCCCTTTTCTTTTTCCTTTTCTTTTTTTTTCCCCATCACCGTGTCTCCTGACTCCCATAGATATGAACATAAGTCCTACAAACACAAAAGCGAATTGGATTCCATCAGAATGTTCCATGGCCGGGATTCCAACTCCGCCAACACCAAGTAAATTGGAACCCATCAAAAAATTTTCCGTTGCCGGGATTCGAACCCGGGTCGTCTGGGTGAAAACCAGATATCCTAACCAGACTAGACGACAACGGAGATATTATTTAACATGGATTTAATTATTTTAATCTGTTTCGCCATTGTCAGACATGCTTGAAAAGGAAAAGTGGCAGTTTTTTCCTACATTAGAACTAATGGGCTGGACATTTAGAAGAGGTAGGTGCATGGAACGAAGCCTGCACTGTACAATCAACACACACACACACACACACACACACATGGGCGCACACACACACAC